CACAGGTTGCACCTCACTCTGTTCTTCCAGGAAAGGGTTTCTGAATCACAAGGACCCTGATTTCATATGCTATTCATCAATAATAGATTGACATACAATATAACGGAACAATGTTAGAACAACAGATTATTAACGATTGATATTATATGCTAAAACCCTGTGTGCTCTAATGTCTCTGATACATAACAATAGGAAGTCATTGAGCGATAAATGTTCCAGTCAGATATTTGCTATGGCAGGCCAAAGGTTAGACGAAAGAGCCTGTAAACTCCATAAAGTTAAATACCTTGCTACAGCGATAGTCAAGGAATGGAAAAAAAAACGTAAGAAGCTCTCCAACATTAAACATGATCTCATGAATCTTCTGAAGAGTCAGCACATTAGTGAGGAGGAAGCTGTTCAAAATGAATTCTGCACCGTCGCATTTTCCTCTGACTCGAGGTTTTAATCGATTCTTGTTTCCGCAATGGAGCATCACAATCAGTCAGATTTTGTTTAACCCACACTTCATCTACAGGGCAAAACTTATAATCACTTCTAAAAGAATGATACATTTTGAAAGGTCATATAAAATGGTATGTAAATGCTTCGGATATTTAACACTCAATATACGCAACCTATCAATCTAACTATACGTCTGTCCCTTTCCAATACATTTCCCCTACAGAGTCGCCATGACTCTGATGCCTTTCCCAGGATGCACAGCACATGAGGCAGGGCACACTCTGGAAGGGGTGCCAGTTCAATAAATGGCACACAATCAGACTCAAACACATTGTGGGTAACAATGAAGCTAATGTGTTACAGGTCATTTCAGGAAGTGAGACATTCACGTTCTTCAGGCTTTTTGTCTTATTTTGGCTTGTGGTCCGCCATGAAACTTGCTGCCGTGTCCACATCCTTCTTTGTATTTTCGGTCGACTGGATGGTTCCATTAGACGGCCCAATTTTATGGAAGGCCCGGTAGTATCAGATATATATTTTTAATAAATAAATAATATGAACAACATTGAGAAAACAGAATTGATATTTTTGTTACTGAGGTTGTGTAAAAAGCATATTATATTTTGTTTCTGTAGCTGATTCGACGGCCCAAACAACGACACTTCATTCCTGACTTCTCTTTCCACCCCAGGGCAGAAATGTTTGATGGGGCAGAATTATGGTTTCAGGCTTTATCGGGGAGAAGGTCACACTGCAGATGAAGCAAAGTGAAATTAAGGGATCCATGTTGCAAGTGCAAACCTCCCCAGATCTATTGTATTACAGAGAAGAGGACCTGACAGGGAATTTCCTGACCCACCACATTTGCTGAATGACTAATCTGCGGTATCTTACCTCTGTCCAGTTACTGTCATTGTCTTATCCAAAACCTGCTGAAGCTCTGAAATCTTTGTATTTTCTGCTACATTCTGCATTTTGAAACTAGAAGAGAAACAATGACCGATTGTAATCTATCTTAAATTTGTGTACTCTGCCCAAACAAAAATCCCAAGCACTATGCACAGTGCAGTCTACGGCAAAGGGGACGCCTACCATTCGATCATATGAGGTCTGGTACCAGCACATGAAGATTGCATCAGAAACATCAGCGCTGTGCCATTAGTTGCCATGACAGCTAGACTATAAACGTGGCGCTTTTATAATTTGGAAGCCTCATTTAGGGCCTGTAAAATGCTATAAGCTGTATTAGTTTGTTTTTGTCTCTCATACTGACCTGAAAAGCCACTGGGGGACATGAAGAGAGGCCCGTGTCAGAGAGATAAATTATTGCTTTATAGACTTTTATCTGTATCAACCATTACTTCTATAGTGCTAATCTAGGCTGGCTGAGGATGTCGGTTGCACCTGGTACCTGACACTGTGGTCAGATGGCAGTGGAGCTCGTTGATGAGACAGATGGTTAGTCAGTCAGAAGAAAAACTTCTTTGTGATTGAAGGATTTGAATTGTACTGGTATGGAAGCAGAATTGACAACTGAGGTGGGAGCAGGGAGGTGATATTGTTTAGGCAGACGATAAGCAAATCATGATCCAGAGCCGGTGATGGATGGATGATATTAACCCACCCCCCACAATCATTTGAATGAGAATACATTTCTACTAGAGAAAAACTAAAGTATATAATTAAGGGGAAAATGGTGTCATAGAATTCTCTTACATGAAAAATATGAGTACATCTTCAGAAACAAAAGGAACTCGCTGACAGTTTCAGATATGGTGATACTAGGAGAGTGGGCTGGGCTGAAACTCAGATGGGGGGTGAGTGAGTATGTGTGTGTGGGGGGGGGCAGTGTTGGGGGTGGCAAATGTTATTATGTTGGCAGAGAAATGGAGTTTTGTGTTATGCTAATGCAGACTGATAGTGGATGCGAGTATCGCGGGTTGCCTCCGTGATTGATGAACCGTAGAGGCTGAATGTCTACATTCTCCGTCACTTAGGCGTTTGGAAAGTTTAACGTTTTTGGATTTTAGCATAAAGCCCCCCTTTTCCATCACCCGATTATCAGCAAGCATAGTACATTGCGGAATCCTTGTAGACTTCATAGGACACATTTTCTCTTCAGCAAATTCTGGTCATTTAAACCTTTTTGCTATTATTTATGCATGTAAGGCACACAGTAGGTTAATGAATGCCCCTGATTTTCAGCATATTAAATACAAATTATGCCTGCTGTGTATACAAATAATATCCACTATGTATATATTCCTCATGTATATGTATATTCATATTTATATTTACACCTAAATATCCAAAATGGCTTATTCCCCAAAGTCATGAATATCTGACACAGCTGCCCCAGTAGTCTTGTTTTCTAACACAATGGATGCATATCAATGTGTGTCACTGTCCTATGTATGAACATCTAACAGTTATGGAACATACACAATTTCCACCAATTTGGTGTGGTAACAATTTTTCCTTTGTATTTTTATGTTAAACATATTTACATCACCGTTTACTCTTTTTGGGAAACCCCTTGAGGTTTTTCAAATTATGTAGTCTTGCTTGATGTGTGGATCATGCAAGCAGATATTTTATTTATCTTGGGTTCTTTTACCTGTGTATGCCATTTGTCTGAGAGATTTTGATAGCTGTTTCACACAGATTACATTTATATCTCTACAGTCTCCAAATAAATAGGAAACGTGAAACCCAAGAGCAATGTCTAGCGTAAAGTTTCTGGCTTTCACAGTTCCTGTTTAGAATGTAGCTTTGATGTTGTCTCTTCTGTGGTGTTGTATCCTGCTGTAGGGAATCTGTAGCTTTTATAAACAGAACAACAAAAACACTGTTCAAAACAGTGCAGAAGGCAATTCTGTAAGGTAATTCAGTGCCTTTCAACTGCCCATGTTTTATGAATCCGTGAGAACAGAAGATACAAAACACAGATTTTATAAAAGAAGTGTACGGGTTCGTGGTTTTTAAATTTTGACTAAGGCCTCCCTCCTGCCGGAGATAACAGGGAAAGGGGCCAGGGTCGATTCTGCTCTCAACAAAAAAAGACTAAGCGATAAAATGTTCCAGTTTTCTAGTTTCCAGCAGGGAAAATTTTCCAGCTCAGTCCACATTCACTGCAGTATTCACTGCAAAGACACAGGTGCATTCTGAGCCCTGGAAATTAATCTTACACTTGCAATGGCCGTAGATGAATTTATGAAGCGTGGAGTGTGAACTGAATTTCATCCAACCCGAATGAACTGAGGGAAGTAGATTAACAAGACTGCCAAATGTTGGAGGTGTTGATCTCTGTCCACATCCAATGAAAGGTAATGTGTCATAAAAGCGCTAATTCTCTGTCTGGCTGGTACAATGCAGCAGTACACTTTGAAAATAATGGGATCACACTGGCAAATGGGAATATCTAATATCCCAATTCATAATGAAATCTTAGATTGCGGGACAAACATCGAACTTAAAATGCTATTTTCCTTATTTAGTCTGCAACATGTGGCTGTCAAATCTTTATTCTGTATTGCTTCCTCTGTGTTAATAAACATTCTTAATATGCACAGACATGCTCGGAGTCACTGTAGTGTCCCTGAACGAGGCACTTGACCTGGATTGCTTCAGCAACTCCTACCTAAATGTAAATGCAAATGAAAGTGGCTGGACTGGAGAAAAATGCAGCAGTATTATGGAATCGACGTATCACACATACTCCCTATAGCGTAGATTTATCTGTAATCTCATCTACTCATTACCTAAAATGGAAATGGCAATATCTGTAGGAAAAAAAATAATCAGCCCCCTAATGTAGTAAACCTCATGCTGTTTGACATACATTTAGCTAAGATGATTTGTATTGTGAGTGCTGGTATGGTTTTAATTTCCTCTCTCCTCTGAGCTCTAAATGTCATATTGGTTGTCGCAGCCTAGCTGGCCAGTCAGTAGCTAAGCTGATCCAGCAAGGTCCAACAAGAAGCAAAGCTGTCATACCCAGTAAAATATTCACTCTTACATGATTAACTGAATGGTAACATGATTAAGCTTTATGGGACAAAAGCCTGAAGCCAAAATTAGGATGACATTTTTAATAACAAATCCATCTATATCAAGAGAAGTTGATATGCGATGATATACGATTATTAAACGTAGAGCGACTGATTAATAAGAACTTATTCCTTATAATACGATTTCTTGGTGTAATTAAAACTTGAAAAACATCTCGCCATTCATTTTATTAGTAGAAATAGTGATACATTTGGAACAAAAATAAACAGTATAATCAATGCAACCATGTGCCTGGATGAGTGTTTTAAAAAGTCATTTTAGTGTCAATCCACAATAAGCGGTTTAGAACAATCCACAATAAGCGGTTTCACTTTAAACAGTTCTGGGTATCCGCGATCACAACGCTGCACAGCTACAAGATAACATTTGCAGTTATGCATACCCAACTTTCATAGTTTTATATGCTAGGCGGGTAACATGGGCGTTCTGTAGCACGTGACGCGGCGCTTGGAGGCGATGCCTCATAAACATAGAGCCTCCGAGGCGCCGCCAGCCGCAGAAGGTCTGCGTTGTGCGCGCGTGAAACTATCCAGCCAGCTATCCGTCAAAACGCAATGTGAGCTTTAATGTGAGCTATCCGTCAGAAACAAAATAATATATCGGCGCTTGTTAATTCGCAATACAAAATAGCGCTCTTAAATAGTTAACTGTTTGTATTGCAGCAAATATTAAGTTATTTATTGGAAAATGGAGAAGACCGCTCATTTTATCAGAGGATTCTATACATGTGGACAAGCTTTTTGAAGGTAATCTACTTTAATTGCTCTTAATTATTTTCCCCACGCATTACATTACATAGTTATACTTTAACTGCACGTGTTATTAATAATTTATGTACGAAAAGTAGTGTTATGTTCTGCAAAGCTGTATTTCTTTTAGATGAAATCGGCCTATAGGAGAAAAGTCAGGGGTTTCTATGATTAAAAAAACAACTAGTTTGTTTGATGTGAAGAATGTAAAACGCAAAATATTTTAATTTTAATTAGAAAATGTATTGTTGATTAGAAAAATAAACCCAAGGAAATGAAAATTACTCAAGGGAACATGTAATTACTCATAAATACCATTTTTTAAATATTTATTGACATGCAGCTTTTTAAAAACAGATTTTTATGTTGACATTCGGATAAATAAATCAACATTATACAAGGGCATATATATGTAATGTACGCAAGTGTAATTATCCCTACTGTGTTTAATTACTACCAAGTACACTTAATGAGTTGAGCCTGAAGTCAAGTTGGATGAGTTTTTATTGGGGTGATTTTTAGGGTGTAATGGAAGAATCCTGTTTCACTGGGAAAGTTACCAAGAAATTGCATCATAACTGCCTTATTATTTTATGTTTTATTAGTAACAAACATAAATCGCCATAAATAGCATATAAACATTAAAGATAAATTCAACCTTAATACATTTAATTAATCTTGTGTTATGGTTCATCACCATGAACCTAAAAAAAAGTGATCGTTGCGTCCCTCTGGGCATATTTTCCTAAAGATTAATGCCTTTATACACCAGCAAAAAGCCGAAAACAGGATGAGAGATGCTCGCATCTAGAAGGTACACCTAAAATTAAACCCATAAAGAAAAGCAGTAGCTGCCTATATAGATTTATGTGATTAATTTTTACTATTGTCGATAGGGCAGTTATTTCGTTGTTTTCGTTTTATGATTTTTCTAAAACCTCCATTTAACGGCTGTTACAAAATTTCGTACATAAGCCAACAAATCACTATATACGTCTGGGAATAAAAAAAACATTTTGTTACAAGTATTTGTATATTTGGCAATTAACGCAATAATAAAATATGGTAATATTATTGATAGCAGTAATAATATACTGTTAAATGTGTTACTTGTCTGTAACAAATGAGGTAACAATATTCCGTTTTCCATAGATTGAATTATTGCTAGTAAACAGGTCTGCAGTTAAACCTTTTTGAGTAGGTTACGACGCATTTAAGACTTGGATGTAAAGTTTAGTGCGCGTTTTCATGTGAAATTACATGGTGCGGCAGCGCCGACTGGTGAAGTTTGTATGTAATGACACCTGACTCAACTTGTTAAAAGATGATCCTTTTATATATTTTTTAAGGGTGAATTGAACATGTTTTTTTTTACAGTAGAAATATTTTCCCAGACGTTTTCCTTTTTGTCCTCTTAGGTTGTCTTGGAAAAGTTTCAGGCTTTTTGTTGATCTCCAAGAGGCCTAACCATGAAATCCATACTGGATGGTGTCGCTGACACAACCTTCCGAACGATTACTACTGGCCTGCAGTACCTCAGTTCCAACGATGCCAGTTACGACGATGCCACCATAGATGCCGACTTTACCAAAGGCTTATATTCCGCGCAGAAGCCCCTGTCGGCATTCCGCAGCAATGCCTTCCAGGGGAAAGTGCCGGGCGATGAGGAGCTCATCCTCAAAGGTCTTCCCTTTTACCCGACCAATGTCACCGAGCTCTTCGGCAACAGGAGCGGTGCCACTTTGGGAGGTGACAGTCTCCAATGTGGGGAGAACTTCATGGACATGGAGTGTTTCATGATCCTGACGCCCAGCCAGCAGCTGGCGGTGGCCGTGATGGCGCTCACTCTGGGCACGTTCACCGTCCTTGAGAACTTGGTGATACTCTGCGTGATCCTACAGTCCCACACGCTGCGCTGCCGTCCCTCCTACCATTTCATCGGCAGCCTGGCCGTGGCCGACCTGCTGGGAAGTGTCATCTTCGTCTACAGCTTCCTGGACTTCCATGTGTTGCACAGGAAGGACACCCCCAACGTTTTCCTCTTCAAGCTGGGGGGGGTCACGGCCTCATTCACCGCCTCGGTGGGCAGCCTCTTCCTCACCGCCATCGATCGCTACATCTCCATTCACAAGCCGCTGTCCTACAAACGAATTGTCACCAAGACCAAGGCCATCGTTGCCTTCTGCTTGATGTGGGGCATCTCAATCATCATTGCAGTGCTCCCCCTGCTGGGCTGGAACTGTAAGAGACTCAACTCCGTGTGCTCGGACATCTTTCCCCTCATCGATGAGAACTACCTGATGTTTTGGATCGGGGTGACCAGCGTGCTCTTGCTCTTCATCATCTACGCGTACATGTTCATCCTGTGGAAAGCACACCACCATGCAAAGCGCATGATTAGGCGAAGCTCCCAAAAGAGTATCATCGTCTACGCTGCAGATGGCACCAAGGTGCAGACCACCCGTCCAGAGCAGACACGTATGGACATCCGACTGGCCAAGACGCTAGTGCTCATCCTGGTAGTGCTGATCATCTGCTGGGGTCCTGTCCTGGCCATCATGGTCTACGATCTCTTCTGGAAGATGAACAACTTCACCAAGACGGTCTTTGCCTTCTGCAGCATGCTCTGCTTGTTCAACTCTACAGTCAACCCCGTCATCTACGCCCTCAGGAGCAAAGACTTGCGCCATGCCTTCCTGGGCATTTTCCAAGTATGCAGGGGCACCAGTCAGACTTTGGAGAACAGCTTGGAATCTGATTACCAGAATGTCAGGAATGCCAGTAGGGCAGCTGAGAGCTGTGTGAAGACCACAGTAAAAATAGCCAAAGTGACCATGTCCATCTCAACCGAGACATCTGCAGAGGCTGTCTGAGATGCCTTTTTGTACTTGTGAACATGCCGGTGACTCACAAGCCCATAATCCCTCAGCACTCCTCTGAGAGTTATGCGAATTTTACTTAATGGTGGTGACATAACACTGGTAACACATGGGAAAGTGAAAAATACAGAGAAACTGTGAAAAATCAAGACATTACATGTATATTTCACCTGACAAGTACTAGTGTGTATTAGTACTTGACTAAGTGCCAAAATGTTTGTTAATATGAACAGGATGAAAGGACTCTTTGTGGAGTGGACTGAGACATGGATTCATAATGTTAGATAGGACATGTCATCTTTATTAGTACTGAGGTTTAGTACTAATGTTGTCCAGAATGTTTGTGGTTTTTAATAGGGAGAAGCTGTGTTTTTACTGTGAAACAAGATTCTTAATGATGGAATCTTTAAACTTGCAACAAAGATCGCTCAGTATACTTCATTAGCTATTTTGGCACAAAAAATTGCAGTAATGTAAAGCATATCATGAAAATATAGAATTCCAGCTCTAAAATTGTTACTTTGATACAATCTCTATGGTGTCAGGATAGATTCTTTTAAAAAAATAAGGTTGGAAAAAACAGGATACGCAACCTCAATAACTATATGTTTAACAGTTTGGTTATTGACGATACTATGAATAAAGATGTCATTTTTTGAGAAACTTTGTTAATGTTACGAAAAACTTGTAGATATTTATTGAATTACATGAAAGGTATATGTAACATTTCATTAGTAGAAGCACTTATTTTGATTTGATTTATTAGATTATATTTCTGACTTATGTATACATAAAAGAAGGTATGTACAGAACATAGTGAAAATAAAGACAAACAATAACCTCATGGATTAATTGAAACAGAAAACGTGCACCACACAGGCTGTTTGGCAGCTTTTAATAATGGCAGTCAAAAGTTACCAGTTTAGTTTTTAGTTTTTCAATGAAACATGAAACAAGGAGTCCAGTGTATGGCGAATGCAGAGCATACCTACGCGTAAGCCTGAACCGCGTGTGCCATAACAGCTCCACATTTCACTGCATTTCCACTTTGCTAGTTTAAGATGTTCACATTGCGTTACAGTATTTTGTTACAGATATAAATTACCTTCATCCAAGAAATCTCAAATCCAATAAATTATATTGTTTAGAGGAAAAGTATTTTAATTCAGTGTTATTACATTACATATTACAGTTTACCTTTTTACAGAATTTAATAGTTCTGAAGAAATTCAGGGTAAGTGCGTACATTTTAAATGTTAATGGTCTGAAGCCCCCTAGTTCATCCTCTACACCATCTATGTAGGAGATTAAAGCAGCATTGCAGTAATCAAACTTGCCTTGTCTGAAGCCATTTATGAGGCCAGTTGTACGCTTCTGACACTGGTCAAATATCTATTGATTGTTTTCAATAAACATTTATCTGGTTTGGATGGCAGTGATGTGTATCCCTTTCTAAAAAGCAGGGTGTACACATCAAAGTCATGTAAACAGGCCAGTCAGAGACATGCTCACAGATTAAGCACAATTTAGAATGACTGATCTATATGCACTAATCTTGAACAGCACCTCCTTGCTTGTAGGAGGAAAGCCTACAGAAACATACTAAAGTATAGTTCACATTTCACAGCTACGCAACAGTATTAAAAAGACTTTAGCATTGTGTTAATTGGTTTGTGTCGTAAATCCAGTGTCTGCGCAGTGGATGTTTTTGATTGATAGAAGTTTTGTTTCTCTGTGCTGTAAGTGTGATTACTGTTTTATGTATTAATTTTAACTTATTGTTAGTATAGTGTGCTGGTCACACTAATGTAATCTTTAAAATCCTAATAGTGACCATTTAAATGTTTTGTGTTGTGGTTGTATTTATTATCTTATTATTGTTTAACAGGTAACAGGCTGGTGAAGTGTTTATGTATTGTTAATGGCTATAAATAGATAAATAATGTATCTTGCTATCTTGCTTAAAATTGTTGTAATTTATTTTGTTACAGTGAATTTTTCTACTATGTACAAAGAGCAAAATCTTCCCTGGTCCTGGGTTTCGGGATCAAATCAGAAACAGGAATAGTGGAATAGATGAATAAAGCATTACACAAAAAATGTATGTGAATTAGCTGTGTTTATTAACAGCTTCTTAGGGAATGTAAATTAAAACCTTTTTTCACAGTCCTTAAAATAATAATATAATTGGATACTTACATTTAAAGATAGAAGTTGAGAAATGTTGCTTTCTGCCTATTCAGCATGCTAAAACAATTAAAATACAGTGATAAAGTTCACACCATACTACTGCTGTCCTTCTGTCGGTACTGAGATTCAACACCTGCTAAGTTTCACACAGAGAATCCAGTAGGGGATGTGTTCTAATTCATTGTTCATACTTTCACAGTGCCCTCTTCCAAGCCTGTAAATCTTTAAATAAAGACACAATTGTCCAAAGTGGAAGCCGTCTGTGTTTTATAGTTTTGTTAAATAATATCCAGAAACAGTAGTCGACGCAATAGAAAACATCTTTTCAACAGACGTTTAATCTTTTCTCAAGTTGATGACAGAGCTAAATCGCCCTCTGGTGGACAATAAAGTAATAGGACCATGTTGACTCAAACTACAGCTAGCTTTATTGGAATCTATATTCATATGTAATCTATTAACTACAGAATCTCACAAACTTCTGCCCGGATATGTATGTTTACTTAAATATTCAAATATTTTTTACAAATCTTGAATAGTAGATAACATCTTTGATATTGAACTATAGCTGTTGTTCATTGAGAGTTTAGTCATCCTCATAGCCACAAATTGTCATAAATTGTCCTGAATATTTGCACTATACGAAAGGCCAATTCTCAGTCGTAATAAAATATATCAAACAAGTTCACGTAATAGAGATGTATTAAACTATTGGTCGGTTTCAGTGTATCTTTCTACCAAGCTTTACGACTGATATCAACTACTACCATTGAAGCTGTTGTGCAAATTGGTTACACGTATGGTGTGTATTATTTTTGTGCGTGTGGTATTTTTTTACTTCGTTTATAGAAGAGGCACATGAGACACCGTAAGCGATTTACTGTTGGTTATGGGAAATGTTGTGTAAATACGTAAAGCATGAACTTATGAAGTTAGTAAAAACTACAACTCCCTACAGGACGCGAATCGGTCTGCGCCTGCGCGTAGGGACCCGGCTGGAGACTGACGTTGTTGTGGACGCCATGTTAGCCGCTTGAGGGGCGAGATACCGGAACGCAAACGGGAGGGACGGCTGCGGCGAGACGCTCGTCTTCATCCGGCAATGTTTCCCATCTAGCCGAGCAGGAGTGATACGAAGCAGGAAGAGGGCCTGAACTGTACAACGGAAAGTGACCGCACCGAGCAGCAGTTTTCCGCCTTCAGAGAGTCGCTTCCAGTCAAAGTTAGGAGGGTTAGTCCCCTCGGCACATCTAGCCGCTAAACCCAGGATCTACCCCAGCATCGTTGATTTTAGCTGGACTGGAAATATGGCTTGCGGGGCTACTTTGAAAAGGACTGTGGATTTCGATCCGTTAATGAGCCCGGCGTCACCCAAGCGGAGGCGTTGTGCCCCGCTGTCTCAGTCCAGCTCGTCCCCGCAGAAATACCTTCGCATGGAGCCGTCACCTTTCGGCGAGGCGTCGGCCAGACCCAGCACAGGTCGGTACAGCTCGGCAAACCTGAAACATTTAAGCGCTCACTGGGGTTTACTAATGCAGCCTGGGGCTGGTTAACGTTCGTGTGATCCAGCGTCAACGGCTGGGTACAACCATCTGACTCTAAAGCCTCACCGGCATTTAAAATCTCCAGCCAGTTAGGTCCTTAACTAGCACACCGTCAGTGCAGAGCTGTGTAGGTAACGGCAAGTCTACTCGGTAACTAGTTGCTTAGAGATTCGAGTCAGAGTCCCAGCTACCTCCTATGATAAATACAATTATTTATAGGAACTGATTACTAGGTAATGTAGACAAGTCCTGCGGAGTTATCAGTACCACTTGGTGGCTTTTAAACCCCCTCACCGCCCTGCTTCCTGGTGAGCAGACGCCATCGATGCTGATGCCGATATTTGTCGTCGTCAACGTTGGTTTTAAATCATTTCAAACGAAAATGCATGTTTTCATGGGCTCTATTGCGGTGCCTTCATCCCTGTAAGACTTGAGAATCTGTATGTAACTGGACATGCAGCTCAATAACTTATGTTATAACTTATTTTAGCATTACATATTTTCCCGAAGATATGTAATTAGACAATGGCTCCAATTAACCAGCAGTCTGAATCAAGGGTACACACTATTTTACTATTTACTTGTGGTGTTGATAGCTGGTGTACTCAGCAAACAAACAAAAAAAGTGATTTTAGGCTTATCGGAGTATATTTTCTAAGTTGTGTGCAACACGCTAATGTTTTGGCCAAGATCTACAGATGACGGGAGTGACATTTGATCTGATGCGTGCAATTATAAGAAAGCTGTTCAAGTATCTTCCTTTGGGTGTGTTTCTTTAATAATCAGCTAACTATTCAGTACGCAGATTATGATAATTATTTGCAGGTTAATAAGGGACAGTTTTGAGTCATAGGATGCTGTTTACGCTGTCGTGAAAATCACAAAAGTTTAGTTATGTGCTAATGGTGTTTTCGTGCTGGTATCTCACTCAGGAAGTGGTCTCCCCCCTCCTGTTACAATGATCTATCTAATCTTGTTTCCAGGCACCTATTCATTTATGGGAAGCTTGTGCATGATAGCATTATCTCGGTACAAGTAGCCTCTGTCTCCCCTTGTTTCTTTGCTATGTTTGGTCAATGCTGTTGGTTTTAATAAAAGTCCTTTATCTGCCACATCACATATGGTTTGTGCAGTGTAAATTTATAGACTTCTATAACAAAAGCCATATGAGGAAAACGATTTTCCCTGAATTGGAGTGTAGATGCATAGTATATCTGGAGATGGCTACAATGACACCCTATCAGAAAAGGATAAAATTCAGGTTTCTTGTATCATAACATCTTAGGAGACCATTGCTTTCAGACTGTCTGATCAGTCTCTAAATTAAATTTGATCTTAACCGATCCAAGCTAATAAAGTACATAAAGCTGGTTACTTTTAGATATTTGTCACCCCTAAAATGTCCAGCAAACTTCTGTGCTGCAGACATGGTTTATGCTCCATTAAAAGAAAGTCTTTGCTTAACAAAATATCTGCTGTTGTTAATAGCCTTGTTTTTTCCATTCCCATCTGCCACTAACAAGCAGTAAATGGCCCAATTTAACATTGCTAGCTAATTCAGAGTTCTGTGACATCATAAAGTTAATACTACTTGGAAAAATCGTTGAGGCTTTCGTGTAAAATGATTCTTGAGCATGTTTTGCTTGGTGACTTCCAGCTGCACATTTGACAGATTTTATTATAACACATATCACTCTAATATCAGCTTGACCAAAAGAAACTGATTTTATAAACAGGATTGTCACCAAATGCTGTAAACAGCTTAATTTGCAGGCAGTAGAGCAACTTTTAGAGTCGAAGCATTTATCGTGTTAGGTAGCTGTTTCTAGATGGTCAGATTGGGGCAAACTGAAATTCACCTGGGGCGTGTCATTGGCTGATGGAATCATTAGTACAACCAAGCAACATGGAGAACATGCGACATTTTATTTAACTGTAAAAGTCACTGTAGGATAATTAATTTTTCTGGCATTGGGACAGATAGGATGTGTCCACCCTTTTGCTTTTGAATCACCAAGGACCAATCTGCTTCCCACAAATAGCAAACAGCTGCCCTCGTTTGAAAATGTACTGTGCAATAAGGAAGCAAACCGAACGGAGGGATGTTTCATGTTGCATGTGTTTGCAGTTTTTCAAAGATTTATACCATAGAAAAAACATCTGTGTAGTATAGCAGAAATTTAACAAAGTGGCATGTAACTGTAATCATGTTACCAATATCAGTGTTGGTATGTACCGTAAGGAAGCTGTCGTGTATTTGATTACAACATCATGTGGAATAGTCATACTGAACAATAATCGCCCAGCTCCTCCCCAACCGTCTCTAGTTTAAGTGGTACGTAATTTAGGAAATAATTAGTAGTATTTCCAATGGAATTAAATTCCCAGACAAACCTGATACGTTTCAGTGGGCGGTTTCCGTTGCTTACTGCCACATTTCTGTCCCACGTTCCCCAGAGCAAATCCTGTACAGCATAAAACAAGAATATAAACGCATGCAGAAGAGGCGTCATGTGGAGAACAGCTTTCAGCAGACGGATGCCTGTTGCTCCCCAGATTCTCCTCCGCTCCCCTCCGTCCTGAGTGGACCCACGCTGCCAGGTAACCCGTATCTGTTGACTGTGTCTGTGTGCAAGAGTCACCCTAATGGGTTCAAGCACTTTGTAATAATCTTAATCTAAAAGTGCTTGCTGAGACAGTAGCATTTTGACAGTTGAGAAAAATGGATTTGGTGTTGCTGACATTTTTTTCCATCTTTTTTTGTTAAAAAAAAAAGCTGAAATAGGTAACAGTGTATGAAATCGCTTCCACCATTAGAGATCATTTGAGAGCATTGCCTTTGTGTTTGCAAAAATTCTCAGCTTTTTGGTTGTGTGACGGAAAAGTACTTTTGTAGAGAATTTGATGGGTGTTGAGCAATTGATGCCGATAATAGAACAAAACTGTTGATGGGTGCCAGCTTCCCATCTCAAAGAAGGGGAGAGATATCTTAAAGAATAACTTGCATTGTAAACATCTATGAGCTGGAGAAAGGGCTGATGTTCTTTTGAATACAAAGTCCACTTAGATTTCATGAGAAAGCTAGTGGTCTCTCTCGCTGTGAGATTATTCCCTTCATACCAAATAATCAATGAAGGTTAGAATTCAAACATTTAAATAAGCAGGCAATCAGTGCATCACCAAGACCATTGTCATGATGTAGTGTAGAAAGCAGAGTCCACAGATAACCACCTGAATACAATACTCAAGCGACTGCTCTATAAGCATGACGCATATCGATTGTAGGTTCATTGACAGGAAAAGGTCAAAGATCTGACTTTGCTTCTCAGTAACATGTTGATGATAATCCATTACAGGGCTTAACCTTTTGAAAAAAATCTCTCAAGGTACATTGGCTGGGGCATCATCACCAACTAGGAAAGAGCAGCCTTTATTTACATTAAGACAAGTAGGAATGATCTGCGAACGTCTGTTGAATGAACGTGAAGACAAGGTCCGAGAGGAGTATGAGGAGATACTGACCTCAAAGCTAGCAGGTATGTCGGCTTGATGGTAAAATCTAACAGCTTGGTATCATGGAGCTACTTTCTCCTTAAGATGACATTACATTTCTCTCTGCCTTTTATAGAACAATATGATGCTTTTGTGAAGTTCACACATGACCAACTGATGCGACGATTTGGAGAGCAACCTTCTAGTTGTAAGTTTTACTCAATGGATGATCTCAAAAAAATTATTTTTACGTTTGATGCATCAATATCTTTTGGTGACTGGATCGTAGGTCATTGCTTTGCAGAGAGGCTAATTTGTGAGCTTTTGTTTCCAGATGTATCCTGAGGAAAGCCCCAGTGACAGCTGTGGGTGCCCCTTTGCTCTACGACTGCAGCGAACCGTTACGACGGATTGTCACAAACATTTACAGAGACGTTTGATGTAGGAATGGTAGCAGTGCCATTGTTTCCCCTTTGGACACAGGCTGCTTGACGCTTCCTGTCAGTGATGTAAAACAAAAATCGCGGCTAGGGGCTTCCTGAAGTAACTGCGCATACGGACATTGCCCTTAATTCCTACCAGTGGCCTGTGGCATTAGCTGTATTAATATTGTTCTTTAGCTCCTTATTGATTTCCTTTCCCCCCATTCCATTTTTTATGTGTACCATAGCAGTGTAGCATAGTGTGGGTTTTTTTGGAGGTCAGTCTGTAAAGAATGATTGGGCTGAAGGCAAGTAGCTGCAGTCCCTGGCCTTGTCTTCTTTAGTGTCCCACAGGTCACAATAAGCATTTCTGCATAGCAAGTCATATGGTGGACAAGTTACCTCCCCCGGTTATTTATTTTGATCTTGTTCTTTTAATTGCCCCTACATGGACTTCAATAAAAAAAAAATAAAGTTACATCAAGAACATAGTGAGACCTTTGTATACATCTCTTTAGAAATCATTTAACTACGCATTCTGGTTTTATTTATTTGAATCTGATTTTATTGGAAATTTTAGGCCACCACGGGCCATTTTCAGGTTTGACAGCCCCCCCAGGTTAGCCGTGCCACGTGATCAGTCTTCTGCTTCGTGGATTTTATGAAGCCCAGGAACTCCAGTTCGGACACAGCTCGAATGAAACGAGCACTTCGAACAGTTAAGGAGAAAGCTGTTCCATTGAGAGGGGCCCTTCGTTTCCAGAAAGGTCCATACCACTGCATTACCGGATTATGTAAACAGACACTGTGACACAGACCTCTGCCCCTCAACTTGAATGGGCCCATTAAGTGAAAAGCTTCCACAGCAGAGAAAGGATACTGTTTCATTTCATCAACGTGTCCTTCTGCTGAGTCTGGATCCTGGCCATCAGCAGCAGTAACAGTAAAGTAAGCCTGCAACAAAAGACACAGCAGTTTTCCTGTCTCTCTCCCCCCCAATGCTGTTTGACTTCTGCTGCAGCTAGATATGAAATTCTTTCAGCACCCTAGCTGGTAACAAGCCTATAGCCAGTTTCACAACTCACTTGCAGCCAGTCGTACAAGTTTATAAGCCTGCCACATTCCAGATGCAACTTGTAGATGATGCAGATGTCAGGTGCTGCCTTAGAGATGGTACCTCCTTCACTCTTCAGAGCTTCACTCTGCCAGTATGAATCACTGTGAGTTTATTACGTTCTGAGTGGGTGGTGAAACAGTGTGAATATTAGTCACCTGCAGGTAGTAGTGGGGGTGACTGAGCGCAGTCTGGATGGAGGTTCGAGGCGTGGCGTTGAGGTGTCGGCGCACGGTGGCAGAAGAGCTATAGTAGAATACCTCATACAGCGGCTGAGATTCTGGAGGCAGGAGGTGCATTCTGGGTACAGGATAGATAACATAAGTTGTACTCCGCTATCTTGGTAATGAAACCAGTGGCCCGTCAAACATTTCACTTACTTGACCAGACTATCCAGATAGTCTACCGTGTGGTTTCTGAGAACCTCATATGGTGTTTTCGCCTTGTTCCTACGAGTCTCTCTCATCTCCATCAGAGTCTGAAAGATGAGAGAATAGTGAGCTACTTTATGGCACAGATGCCCCAACTGAATATGAATTTTGTGGCGGACCATTCATTCAGAACCTTCTGAAGGTGGAACAAGTCTGTCTTCTGGAGACTTTTTCCTGAGGAAGATTCCTGCTCACCCTCACAGGAAATGGTTTCATCACTGAGCTCTGAAAAGTCATAGTTAGGTTATGATAGGTTAACAGCACAATAACAAAACAAGCAGTTATTCCAGATGGCTGCACAGAGACATTTTAGTACAGCAATCAGCTTACGGTCAAGCATTTTTAACTTGGCGATGATGTCCTTCAGTTGGTGCACCACTTCTTTTAGTTTCTTTGTCATCCCAGGTTGTAGAACCTCAACACACTTCTGCAGAGCAGCAACCAGCTCATCTTTTGCAAGCATCCTGCAAGAGATTTAGCAGGGTACAAGTATTCAAAGCCACCGTACACCATCCCTAAGAAAATGCTCAAGCTGAAACTTCAGTGCAGCTGGCTAACTTGTTTACAGTCTCAGTCCTTCAGAGAACACAAAATGATTCCTTTAAATAAGTGGTAAATAAAGGAACAGCAGAGTACAGCTTACCTGAGGAGCTGCATGGCCGATTCATACTCCTCACTCTCCCACACGTTATTTTCGAGACACAAAACGTGTAGCTCTCGGATCTGCACACAGGGCACATGGAATCACGCTAAAAAACTCCGCCACATACACAATCCCAGCCCAGAATTTCTCTGCTATAAGTACATGCGACAGCTTTCTACTAATCGTACTTGTTTTTTGATTGAACTTTCAAAGCAAATGCTTCAACAAATTCTAAAATACACCAAGGAGCAGGAGCTTAGGTCTGTAGATGATAGTTAACAACTGCTGGAAAATGGTGGATGATAATGGGGTGGGTGGGGGGGGGGGGGGGGCACTGCTTTGGAATTATCATGTCTGGATCAATGGTCACTGGAGGTGGGTGGATAGAGGTTTTTATTAAATGCCTCATTTCAGTGCTGACCTGCTTTCCTAAAGGGAACTTGGGGAGAGAGGAGGTGAGGAGGTGAAGACATCTCAGAATGGGGTAGAAGTTCCTGTGGTAGCTGCAGAGATCCTTTAATAAGTTCTGGGTCACCACCTTCAAAAACAATATATATTTTTTTATATACATCACACACACATTCAAAAAACACATGGGAAAGAAAGCATGACTGACTACATGTTCTCTTTATAAGAAGTTTACCTTTACATGGTCGTCACTGGTTAGCAGCTTAACTTGTTCTTGAGGCTCCTGCTTCTCCACATATCTGGGTGGGTAACAGGAGAGGGAATAAGCTGTTGTTACGCTAACCTGACTCCTACGAGACAAAGTCCGGTTCGTTTTTAGGCACCGCAATGCAACCCTGCCCCAACAAAAGAATGGCGACTGGCTCATGAGACCTCATTATGGAGGGGAGTTGTAGGATCTTCTCCACGTCCTCGTGGCTGAACTGGCGCACCTGGGCGAGGGCCTCCTCCTCCTCACAGCAAAGCACGCTCAAAGGCTGGCCAAAGAAGTGCTCAAATAGGGCCAGCTGTAACAGGAAGACCACCACAATGAGAAGACTTTCTTCAGGCTGTGTTTCACCATAGTAATGCCACCCACAGGATTTCTCTGCTGTTTCTCCCTAACATCACTGGTCAAAATGCAAAGTAGAGCCAGGAAAGTACAGAAGAATGGGACAATAAGAATTACAAGTTGTAGGTAATTGATGTATTTGCATAACTCTAATGGACCAAGCAGCAGGATAGGGACACTGTTCTCATCAGCCACACCACCTACAGGTCAGACCAGGTAATCCACCTGAAGCTAAGCAGGTTTGGCCCTGGCCAGTACTTGGATGGGAGACTGACAAGGAAAGCTGGGTTGCTGCTGGAAGAGGTGTGGTGTGGCCAGGAGGTTAGCCTGTGTCTGTGTGGGTCCCAATGCCCCACTGCAGTGACGGGGACACTGCTGTAAAAATGGTGCCGTCCTTCGAATGACACATAAAACTGGGGTCCTGACTCTGTGAGGTCATAAAAAGATCCCAAAAAGTAGTGGTGCTACGCCGTTGTCCTGGCTAAAATTGCTCACTGTGGCCCTATCAGATCACGGCTCCTAATCATCCCCTATATCTAATTGGTGAATTCTCCCCTGCCCCTTTCACCACATTAGCTACTGTGTGGTGAGCGTGACTGCTGTTGCACCATCCAGGTGGGTGATACATAGTGGTGGTAGTTGAAGTAACTACCAATTGGTTTGGTGAAGTGCTTTGGGTGTCTTGAAAAGTGCTGTATAAATGTAGCTTTCATTCATTCAGCTGCACAAAAGATATAAGATGCACAAAATATAGAAAAACCGGGTTAAAGTACAGTAAAACCACGGATTGCGAGCATAATTCATTCCAGAACCGTGCTCGTAATCCAAAGCACTCGTATATCAAAGCGAATTTTCCAATTAGAAATAATTGAAATAATTCAATAAAAATGATGGTGTTACCAAGAATTAATTATTTATTTGCAATGATTCCAAGTAAACCATCACCTGACTGGTTT